GCGATCCAAGAGGATGCCATGATCTATCATGTCAAAAGCCGCTGAGAGTTGTCAGGTTGAAGGGGACTCCGGGGGGGGGGAACCCCCAGAGGTATTTTCATGTTCTGTAGAGGGCAGTGGGATCAACGTAGTTGTGGCGGAGATCCCACACAATTGTCCACCTCTGCACCAATGTCTCGTTCATACAGATTTTGGAAAGTTTTGTAGTACTAAAAAAATGTCACTTATTTAATGGCTGTCTTAATGTTTGTGCCTTGAGTATGAATAACTTTCTCATAGTATTGTCATTTGTGTAAAAAGCTTTTCATTGCCTTTAGGAAGGTGTGCCTAGCAATCTTCAGCAGTTTGGGTAGCAGGGGCTCTATAAGACTGAATTTGTAAATAATCCAGGTTGACACCACTTTAAACTGCCATGACTCAATACTGTGAAATTCTGGAATTTGTAGTTTGGTGGGGCACCAGAGCACGCTGACATAGAAGGCTAAATGTTTCACAAAACTGCAGTTCCCAAAATTCTATACCATTGAGCCATGGCAGTTGAAGTGGTGTCAACCTGGATTATTTCTGCAATGTGGATTCAACCTAAGTTGTCTTTGAGATAGCTTATCCAGCATTACAGATCATCTTGTTATGGAGCTTAGTAAACTTTTCTGGTATCTCAGGGTTCTGTTGCACACAGTTTGGAACCACTGTTCTACAAATGAAAAGTCAGTGGTATTGTACAGGTGAACTTAAAAACCCAAAAAACTTGCACATGATGAAAAGTGCATGATGGAAAATCTTTGAGGGTGAGAGCTGATTGTTGCCCTGATTGTATTATATTCTCTTGCTGGAAATCAAGGTAATCAGTTACTGACAAAACATGTACTGTGAATGCTTATAAAGGCAAATATATGGATTAGAAATTATTAGATAGGTACAGTAGTTGCGTAACTAATTGAGCGTGTAATGTTCCTTCAGTTTTATTGATAGAGATCAGAAATAACATCACATTCTTCTTTATACATTATGTAGAAGAAAAGATGGGGAACATGGGGTCTTCCAGGTGTTTTTAGACTGCAACTCCCATTATTCTCATTATTAGAATGCTATTTTGGTCATGCTGGATTGCAGTGCATCAAACCTTAGAATGCTGCACTCATCCCAAATCTGATATAGCTGATATTGTTGACACTAAAAAACAAAACAGAATAAAACGAGGAAACCAAATCAGACTTTTTTTATCATATCGTGGGACGTGTAGAAAATCTGATCTCATGTTCATTGTTCTTGTTACACAGTTACTTTTTCCATATATGTGTGTGTGTATGTTTGTGTTGCCCATGTGTAGGCATCACATTTGGAATGTTCTATTCCAGTGGTCATACTGCAGCTTTTTATCACTTCAGTGAACTTTGGGTAGTAGGAAAGTGGTTGGTATGGCTTGACCATAATGTTTGGAATTTGTTTCAAATTAGATTCAGTCTCCTGGGGGTAGGTTAATCTTTAAGCAGTTAATATTTTGTTTTGCTGATAGAGCGATTTTGGTATGCAGCTGAACAGAGAGTTCACAGTGCTTACTGTAATTGGTACAATTTAGCTTTAAATCTGAAAATGTCTGTAAAAAAGGCTCAAAACTATTAGAAACCAGTAATGGGGTGCTTGTGTAACTGCACAAATTGCTGAACTGCAAATTGCTGGTTGATTAGGGAAGAAGAGTTGAACAGAATTCCAAACAGACTGTAAGTTTGAGACCTACCACATTAGATATGCTTGCTTATCATGGTTATCAAAAGAATCCAGAGTAGGGCTGAACAATTGATTTCAGAGGTAGTAAATTCTTGGTGAAGGATGTGGAGATTTCATTATACCCTTTAAACTTAGACAAGTACCATTCAGTTTTAACTACAAGTTATATTAGCCCTAATCCGCATAATCTGTGGTTAGGGATGATAGGAATTGTTGTTGTTGTATGCCTTCATGTCATACATGTCAAAACTCGTATCATGGAGTTTTCTTGGTAAGATATGTTCAGTGAGGTTTGTCATTGCCTTCCTCTGAGGCTGAGAGCATGTGTCTTGCCCACAGTCACCCAGTACGTTTCATGGCTGAGCTGGGAAACAAATCCTGGTCTCCAGAGTCATAGTCCAGTACTCAAACTGCTGTGCCATGCTGGCTCTCTATTGAATTCCTGTAAATCAGACAACATGTTTTCCATCCTAGTAGATGATTTGCATGGAAGACTAGGTGGTGAGTGTGGAACCTCCTTGGTTCTTGTGGCTATCTTAGCATTTTGACATTGGGCAACATGGATTATTAAATCATTCTGGTCTATGCTCTGGAAGCACTGTCTTATGGTGGTTCCACTTCTCACTTTGTGAGAAGGAGGAGGTACTAAGATCTGGGTGTGGGGGAACCAACTAACCTGAATAGAGGTGTGTAAAGTGTGGTCCCCTTGAGACAATGGTCCCCTTTTCTCTTGGGTGACAACCGTAGTGCCCCCCCATGCCTGTTTAGAGATATTAGGTCTATTGTTTGTGCAGCTGCTGGCTGGCCAGTGGTGTCTACTTCAGCCACACCCAGCTCACTGCCTTCTCCTCCTCTCAGGAGGCAACACTTACACAGTTTTACATACATGTATAAACTGTGTATATGTGTGTGTGTCGTTTGTACATGCATCTCTGTCTAGATATGTGTATGCATTAATGATACAGACACACAAGTGTATACATACTTGGTATATATGAGATTGTTCCATTAGTCTTCATTAAGGGATAGCTTAGGCTGAGACACAAATTGCTCGAGGTCATCCATTAAGTTTTGCAGCTAATAGACATTCAACCACAAGTTTTGCATTTCTTAGTTTAACGCTCCCAATGTAAACACAGTATTATGGTTCACCTTCTCCTTACCGTTTGACAGGGACATAGCCTGTGGATAGTTTTGCCACTTGGCAGTAGATACAGACAGGGACTTGCCCATCTATATGGGCTCATGCCTTCAGGTTGTTAAGTGGATGTAAGCACAGATTGATGAATTAGCACTTTGCAAATGATTGTCTCTGTTCACCCACACATTTATGGCAGTGGCCATGTGTTCTTCTATAGAAAACATTAAAAGTTGAGTTTATTTTTTGTTTTTTCTTTGATAATTCACTATGACATACTTTATGTATAGAAGTAATAAACGATAGTATGTACTTCACCCTAGATTTGACCATATCCTGAATTTTGTCCCTACCTCGTCTGCTTCCCATGATTTCATTCCCTTGCATACATATTGCCTACAGTGAGAAATTCAGAAAACTATTGAGTCCTCCCATAGAGGGAGGGGATTAGGCATAGTAGTACTGCTATGGAAATGTGTTCTCTCCCCCTACTCCACATGCAGCACATTGCTCATTTTGCCCATGTTCTCAGTATTTCAGGTTTTTCTGCCAGAAATATCTACAGTATCTGTATTCAAGTCAGGCTCTGGATTCTGTGGAGCAGGGGTAGGCAACCTTTTTGAACCGGGGGCCGGGTTGCTGTCCCTCAGACAATTGGGGGGCTGAAGCACCATAAATAAATAAATAAATAAATAAATAAAACAAAAATATATGCATGCACACTCTCTCAGCCCCAGAAAAGCCATGGCAAACCCCCTGTGGAGATTTTGCCAAGAAAACCCCAAGAACAAGTAATAACACCAATAATCAATGCCTTCATGGTGGGCGGGCGGCGGCGGCGGCAGGACCGGCCTGGGACTGGTCCAAAGGCCTCAGGGGGCCACATCCAGCCCCCCAGCCTTAGGTTGCCTACCCCTGCTGTGGAGGCATTATCAGAGGGGTAGTAGACAAAATGATAGGAAGGCAGATTGTTCTTTGTTTGTTTGTTTTTTAAATTCTATATTGTCTTTCTAAACAAAAATCTCCAGTATAGTTTAGGGTAGTTCATTAAACAGAATTAATAGGTGATGTGTGTGTGCATGTAATGGATGTTAAACATGTAGGGAAAATATCTTGCCAAAAAAAATATAAAATAATGTAATTTAATGTTGACACTAGGCAAGCCTGCCTTCCTGGGGAAACAATTTTACAAGTGAGTTGGCACCACCAAAAAAGCCTCTTATTGACAGCCATTTTGCTTCAGATGGGAATGGATTGGCACGTTTCCATGGTCCTCCAATTGGGCT